ATTTGGGCTCTGGTAAGGATGCCTCCTGGACGCCTCCCTAGGGAGGTGTTCCAGGCACGTCCAGCTGGGAGGAGGCCTTGGGGAAGACCCAGGAGTAGGTGGAGAAATTATATCTCCACACTGGCCTGGGAACGCCTCGGGATCCCCCAGTCTGGTTAATGTGGCTCGGGAAAGAGAAGTTTGGGGTTCCCTGCTGGAGCTGCTCCCCCCTGCGACCCGATCCCGGATAAGCGGATGAAGATGGATGGATGGAGTCACAGCCAATAATCATGCATTGCTATTTAACATTTAAAAAATTCAATAAAAAAAATATTCCTGTACAACATGTCCTTAGTGACCTCTGTGACACTATTTTCAAGTTATTTCACTGACTGCAGCATTATTTTACAATTAAATACTATAGTCAGAGCCAGTATTCTTGTACAACATGTCCTGAGGGACCTCTAATAGTCACAGAGGTCCCTCAGGACATGTTGTACAAGAATATATAATAAGTTTGCTGAAAACAATTTGATTCTATTGTTTTATGGAATTTTTAATATAGGTCTAATTCACTGTGTATGCGAAAAGGCTTTGCCTATTGTAACTAATTCTGAAATAATGCTGCAGTCAAATAACTTGAAAATAGTCACAGAGGTCCCTCAGGACATGTTGAACAAGATTACAGTGGAGTTTACTGAAAACTGTTTGATTCTCTTTTTTTATGAAATTTTTAATATAGGTCTAATTTGCTGCATATGCGAAAAGGCTCTGACTATAGTATTTAATTGTAAAATAACTTGAAAATAGTGTTTGATGTGGATAATGTAGTGAACAACGATGTGGATTTGTGCATTTTATATTGAATGAATGTGGAGCTACCCTAAATTCCTTTCTCCTCCCCAGAGAAGAAGGGGAGGGGTCAAAGTTGCTTTCTCTAAGTGCTATCCCGACCATAAAACTGGCACCATTTTGATTCCGAAGCTGATAACGCGGGGCCTGACTGTTAAACTGACAAAGGGACACGAGCCAGCCATTGGCATCTCCCTGAACAGCCTATCAAAACTTACCCCACCACACACGTTTCCGTGGAAACTGACCTTATTCTTTGTTTTATTACCACATCAAAAGGATACTCCTTGTCTCACCTAAGTGTGACATGGTCCAGACACTGAACTTTGGATGACAAAGGACTGCATTCTCCAAAAGACTCAAAGCATCTAATTAAATTTAATTAAATCTTTAGTTACCTGAATATGTTTGCCTCTATTTGAGTAGTTATGTTAACTGTTGTTGCTATCTGTTGATATTAGTGCTGAAAAGAAGTTACTTGTGCAGTGTTTTTATTTTCAGCAAGACACTCCTTCATCTAATGTAATCAATGCTTGTTCATAATACTTTCTTACAAAATCCCTTTAGAAATGATGACAAAGAAATGTTTTACTACACTCTTAATCGCCAGCTTGAATTTAAGGATGAATCAACAATATTCCCAGTTCCTAAGGAGAGACGATCTTTGATTTAATCCAAGCTGTCCTCATGTAACCTGAGCTCCCCCAAGTGGACGAAATAAGTATTACATGCCCTCGTCGGAAATGCCGTTTAAATGTATAAATACCCTGACCAATAATGTGACAATTGTTTCCTGTTACCAAATACTTAGAACAGTACAACCGTTCAACCATTGAGGTTCGATTGTGGAAAATATTTGATTATAATACGTGCAAATAGATTTCTTTTCTTTAGACATTAAGTTTAGAAAGGCAGTTCCTGGGGAAACCTGAGACGCCCCCTGGGGAACCACGCCCCAGGCAACAAAAGAGCGACACGCGACCTGCTCGCTCTCTTCACTCTTCCCTCCTCTCGCTCTTCCACTCTGCCCTCTGGATGCTTCGGCACGCACAGCGTGCCTCGCCAGGCAACGCCCAGACTCGGCCAGCGAAACAAACAGGCCCTTTTGTTCGCCTGAAGCTACACACCTGAAGTGCCGAGACATCGATCTGCCTTCAGTTTGTTTTATTTTCCTTATTTCTTTTGTTTGTTAAAGTTATGAGTCCGTTAAGTTACACTGGACTAATTCAGGAACGACCAAGTTCCATTTTAAGCCTTTTTCGTCAAGCCAACTTCACCGAGGTCAGACCAAGCCACGTGGTCTCGCCAGCTACAACCAAGGAAACCAGCAAACAGCCGAATTGCCAGACGGAGGAGGCGTTTTCAATCGGACACGGAGAACCCCGGAGAATCCCTAGCAAAAAGCCAGGATCGGGCAGCTAGCGTGGGACCCGTGCAACAGGCCAAAAGCAGGCTGTCGACAAGCAGTAAGACTTAACACACGTTCTGTGATCAGATGTCCATTTTAACTCCTAAAATCACAGCATTAGTTTACTTTCATTAGCTCTTCTATGCCGTATGAGTCAAATGCTTCCCACAGTCGAACCTCCAGGCTCATTGTTCAGCAAATGTTTATGTTCCCTGTATCCAGCCATCTTTTTATCACCTTAGTTAGAGAATAAATTCACTGTAATATAGTCAAGAGCTGTGTGTGTTGCCCATTTCTAGTTCCTGCCAAGAGAATTGACCCTTTAGATATGAGACTGACTGACTGATTTAAGATAATTGAGCAATTCTTAACTAACTGATCACTAGTAATAATTGTATAATTATTCAAAACTACCTAGAGGTCCGGAGACTCTAGGATTATAACAACTCCGGTGGTGCCCTTTACGAGGAAATTCTGATTTTATGAATAATAATTCATAATTGGGTATCAATTCTCATAAATTTATTAAAATGCATAACTAATAAATTTAGGTCCACTACAATAAAATGGTTGGTTTGAGCTTCTAGCTGAGCCTCCTTGCTTCACAGAGGTGTGTAGCATGGATAGGGTGATGCAATGCTAGTTTCAAACATGAATTTTCCATTTTGCGCGAAAATCGCGTGCTGCCCCCAGTACAGGGGACGTCTTATTAACACCGACACAGAATTTATTCCTGTTGCACGACCTGGGCACTTTTATGTATTTTTAAATATTCAGATCTTGGGCAGACCTTTATCGCTACATGTAGCTAAGCCTAACATAGGCTATACCAAACCTGCTGGAGCCCAGCTGGTGGAGCTAGAATCAGGAAGACTAACAACCACATTAGTGAAGATTAATGGAGGTCCTACAAACATTAAACAAACAGTAAACACACCCTGTCTTTTCATTTGTAGATTTTCTTTGTCTTCTCATACATTTTCATGTGAAATGTGATTTTATATTTCTTATATTATAAACATTTCCATTATTTTTTGTCTTAGCGGGCCCAACCCTTGCACACACTATACATGGTGTATTTCATTTTCTGTTTTACTGTTATAATAATGTCTACTAAGGGTGTTGCGCTCTTCCTGATCATATCCTAGTCTGTTGCGTTGATTTAGTGTTCCCATGGAGGACTGGCTGATGGTCATCTGACTGACGGAGAGAGAGGCGGCGTTGCCAGGTAATGTCACAGTGCTGAAGAACATTCCATTAGTTGAGTGGATTAGTGTGACAGAGTAAAGCAGTCTGTGACCACTTAACTTTGACTAGCTCTCATGCCAGCCACCGCTCTGCATGAGTCTCCAACTAACTGGATGTGTACCTAGCTGAATGGCTGAGTGTCTGACTCATTGATTTGACTGACGCTGTTTTTATGACTCTCTTGCTGTCTGCCTGTCCTCCTGTGTGGCTGACTTGCTGTGTTTAAGTTCAGAAACATGAAATTGAAAAGTGGAAAACATGCCATTCCTGACCTCTGTGTGTTTTTTGGCTGCTCAAGAACACCAAAAACTTAAATTCGGTTTAGATTAACCAAATTTATTGTCTGTAGACTTAAGTCACAAGAATTTTGACAGCAGGCAGGCCTTAAATAACCACACACATTACGTATTTACTTAGACTTGAAAGACTTGGGACCTGAACAGGCTCTGACAAAACTTGACTTAACTTAGGGGTGGTGACGGCGCAGTGGATAAGACAGATGCCTTTTGTGTGAGAGACCCGGGTAGTTTCTCCAGAGGCGTGCAACCTCTGACATATATGGCAATTGTAAGTCGCTGTGGATAAAAGCGTCAGCTAAATGAATAAATGTAATCCCAAATAGGCCTGACTTGGGACTTAACTTGGAATGACTTGAGAATTGACCTGGACTGGATTAGGCTTGACTTCGAGTGACCTGAATATTCTGGCCAGACACTTGACTTGTTTACAGTGACCTGAATTTTTGTTGACAGGCCTGAGTCTTAGACTTGTCTCGAATGACTTGACACTTAACTTAGACTTGCTTGAAAAGTACAACTTAAACTGCTTTTTAATTTTCACACTTTAAAAATTGCAACTGACTTTGTATGTAGACTTAACAGCTGACTTGAGACTGGCTTTGATAATACTTCAGATTGGACTTGGGACTTGTCTCAGTCAACCTGAGAGGTCTCTTACGCCCAAAGTCTTTTTAAATTTTAAAAGCTTGCAGTCTTTAAAGCTGTATTTTTACTGTTGTCTGCAGGGACAGACATGTTCATTTGACATCATGCCAGGGACTGGGGTTTCAGAATACAAACTTGACTCAAAGGCCTTTTTTTCCAGGTCAGAAGTTCTTATAATGAAGCTCATAATTGAACTCAGGCTGACTGACTCAATGACTGCTAGCCATTTCTCTCCCTCTCTCTCTCTCTGCACTCTGTTTGAGAGTTTGTAAGTTCCTGCATTCAAGTTGTATTGGAGAGACAAAACAGCACATTAAGTGTTAATATCTATTTAAACTAAAAATGCACATATGATGCTGTTGAATTTGAGAACAATCTGATCAACCAAAGACAACATCCCACATGAAAGTTGACACCCTCAAATGAGGTTCAGTATACTTACTTACTATATTACTACATCTAAAAATGCCCTATTTGGTGAAAATCTTTATTTGTAATGAATTTAAAACATCAAAATGAAAGTACCCAATGAGCGTTTGTGTAGACATGGTGTTTGTGTCTTCACTCACCAGGACATGCCTGAATGTTACAGTCCTGGTAATCCACAGGCGAGCCACGGCATGCGACTGGGGCACTCTTTCCCTCTGGTCCAGCGCAGGATCGCTGACGGGTGCGGTAGCCTTTGACACAACTCTGCGAGCAGCTCGACCAGGTCTCCCATGAAGACCAGCCGGTGCCTGCCACTCTTACCACCAGTGTTTTCAGAAGCTCCTCGACAAGGGCTACGAAAAGAAAAAAGTAAAAAGGGGGGAATAAAACAATTCCAGGTTAAATTAAAGTCAGAAATACCGTAAATCTGAGTAATAGCCCAGGCTTTTATTTGCTAAAATCACTGAATTGACCCTGCCTATATTTGAGACAGGCGTCTTTATGGGACAGGCCTTTAATTCCTTTTGCACAAATCTGAAACTACTATGAAACAGTTTATTTATTTCAAACAGAATAATACTTGTATAAAAATGATCAAATAATATCAAATACATGTAATTCATTTGATCTAGCTCCGACAGATGGCTTGTGCGCTTTTATTTTGAAGGCAGCAACTAACAACAACAACAACAACAGGGTGCAGGATGAGAGAAGTGCGGCAGAAGTTAGAAGGCAGCGACGGACTTCACATGACAGGATTCACAACTTGTATAAATTTTTATGAAAAGCTGTTTTGATTCTTTTGATCGGTGGACCCTTACAGGAACGGACTTTAAAGGTAACGGCAGACATACAGCATGAAGCATGCAGATTCTTTGAGTTTAAGTCACACAGTTTATATGACTTTGCCAGCAGGCTTATTTCTGTCTTTCCTTTTCTCAGACTCTGTGTCCCTCATGGATCCCACAGTTCTCTGCTGTCTGTTTGTCAGAGTCGATTTGGCCCCCCAGGAACCTGACAGGGGGAGACAGGTAATCGATTCAGGAGTGGGGGGCATGAAAAAGCCACCAGTGGAGAGAAGTGACCTTATTTAACTCTCTTGGTGTCGATGTGAGAGTTCTACACTGCGACTACGCTGTCACTAACAGCATGTATGGGAGCTAACAGGAGGGCCCTTTCAGTATGACACGCTCTTACTGGGAGAAATCTTAGTACACTGCTGCCTTCTCACTGTGTTGATACAGGAGTAAGTTTTTTTTGTGTGGTAAATGTGCAGTACTATATGCATCTTTGAACACATTAGATCCAGGTAACATTTCCCTACACGTACACAAAAGAAAATCTGCTCAGACTTTGCCTTTTGACTCTCTGCACATTTTTTCTATCGACTTCCAATTAAAACTCAGTTAATTATAATTAAAGACAATATCCGTACAGAAGAACATTATTTATTCCCATATATATTAATTCAGGCAGCTGTGTCCCTAAGGTGGAAATTGGAGCATTAAACTTGAACTAACGATGTTGTCAAGTGACTTTTTTCAGTTTGTCAGTTTATTTATAGTGCAGCATCACTCTAGTAGTCTTTGCACATATTACAGAATAAACACAGACCATGACCATGCAAACAGACACAGAATCATAAACAACTAAAATTAATGGTGATAGATAATTAAGCTAAGTTCAGTTAAGGTAAACATGCAGGTTACTAGTTGTCAGGTAGAAGTCTTTTAAAGATTTACCAGGCCACAAAAACTAGGAGGAATTATAGCACAGAGAAAATAAATGGGTTTTGGCCTTCCATTTGATAATATGAGAGGCCACCTTAACAGGCTACTGAACAGGCCCACATGGCACAGGACCAAAGAGGTCAAAGCCTCTGTGTAAAGTAGCGTGTAGATTTCTCGTAGTAAACTAAAAAGAGAAAAATGTTCCACTGAAATACCTTCACTTGAATGTTATCACGTGCCAGCCTCTAAAGGGAGTCTTTTTCCCCTCAGGAAGATTTTTTTAGGTGTTGTTCAGTTGAGATTCAGTATTGACACCATGCAATATGGACTCTGTAAGTCTGCCACAAGAAATCTTAATTAATTCCACAACTGTGTGGTCACTTGACTTGAGTTGGGGATCCTATGACAAGGGGACCACTAGATGTGAGCAAGGTGCAACAGGTATTAAAAAGAAGTAGAAGGAATTAAAAAGAACTTTTTGGTGTTATTCTCTTTTAGTTACCGTTTTTATGCTATTTTAGGGTAGGCTTTCCTATGAACTATTATTTACCCACATCACTATATCTGTCAGCTGGTTTACTTACTGTCTGTCTCGCAGGCTGCTGTACCATCGTTGGGACAGAAGCGCGTCTCCACCTTCCTGTGTCCAATCTGCAGCTCATGGGGATCAGACAGGTGGGCCCGGCACATATAGCGCATCCTCTGCTCCTGACGAGCTCCGCTCTGAGTCACATTGACAGGCATCCAGGGGGTCCAAGGTGTGTTCCTCTTTACCTCTGGACATGCCTCCAGGTTACAGGCCTTGTAGTCCTAAATGAGAAGGTGGCTGAAGTCACGGGCACATTTTATATACAGTACAGGCCAAAAGTTTGGACACACCTTCTCATTCAATGCGTTTTCATTATTTTCATGACTATTTACATTGTAGATTCTCACTGAAGGCATCAAAACTATGAATGAACACATATGGAATTATGTACTTAACAAAAAAGAGTGAAATAACTGAAAACACGTCTTGTATTCTAGTTTCTTCAAAGTAGCCATCCTTTGCTTTTTTGACAGCGCTGCAAACCCTTGGTGTTCTCTCAATGAGCTTCATGAGGTAGTCACCTGAAATGGCTTTCACTTCACAGGTGTGCCTTGTCAGGGTTAATTAGTGGATTTTCTTCCCTTATTAATGGGGTTGGGACCATCAGCTGTGTTGTGCAGAAGTCAGGTTGATACACAAGCCTATTGGACAACTGTTAGAAATCATATTATGGCAAGAACCAATCAGCTAAGTAAAGGGAAACCAGTGGCCATCATTACTTTAACAAATGAAGGTCAGACAGTCCAGAAAATTGCGAAACCTTTGAACGTGTCCCCAAGTGCAGTCGCAAAAAGCATCAAGTGCTACAATGAAACTGGCTCACATGAGGACCGCCCCAGGAAAGGAAGAATCCCCTCTGCTGCTGAGGATAAGTTCATCTGAGTCACCAGCCTCAGAAATCGCAGGTTAACGGCAGCTCAAGTTAGAGACCAGCTGAATGCCACACAGAGTTCTAGCAGCAGACACATCTCTAGAACAACTGTTAAGATGACACAGCGCGAATCAGGCCTTCATGGTCAAGTAGCTGCTAGGAAACTACTGCTAAGGAGAGGCAACAAGCAGAAGAGACTTGTTTGGGCCAAGAAACACAAGAATGGACATTAGACCAGTGGAAATCTGTGCTTTGGTCTGACGAGTCCAAATTTGAGATCTCTGGTTCCAACTGCATTCAAAGTCCACGGGGCACCATCAACCTGTTCACGTTTCTAACAGATTTTCCCCACTCAGCGACACACCCGCTGAGAAACCAACTCTGATCATTGGCAGCTCCATTTTGAGAAACGTGAAGTTAGCAAAGCCAGCGGCCATAGTTAAGTGCATCCCTGGGGCCAGAGCGGGCGACATTGAGTCTTATTTGAAACTGCTGGCTAAGGATAAACGTAAATACAGTAAGATTGTTATTCACGTCGGCGGTAATGACTCCCGGTTACGCCAATCGGAGGTCACTAAGATTAATGTTGAGTCGGTGTGTACATATGCAAAAACAATGTCGGACACCGTAGTTTTCTCTGGACCCCTGCCAAATCTGACCAGTGATGACATGTATAGCCGCATGTCGTCATTCCGCCGCTGGTTGTGAGGTGGTGTCCAGCAAACGATGTGGGCTTTGTTGATCATTGGCAGACTTTCTGGGGAAGACCTGGTCTGATCCGGAGAGACGGCATCCATCCCACTTGGGAAGGAGCAGCTCTCATTTCTAGAAATCTGGCCAAGTTTATTAGTGGACCAAATCCATGACAACCCAGAGTTGAGACCAGGAGGCAGAGTCGCAGTTTAACACACTTCTCTGCCCTTCTTTTTCAGCAGTTACCCACCCAAAACCCTACGCAGAGTCGCAGTCTAACACACTTCTCTGCTCCTCCATTTCAGGAGTTACTTAGTGAAAATCCTATAGTGACGGTGTCTGCCCCCCGACCATCGAAATTATTTAAATCAAAGGTAAACAGAAGAGGAGCTGTGCATAAAAACCTCATAAAAATTAAAACCACAAGAGCAATAGTGCAAATGAATAGGAGAGTTAAATGTGGAATCTCTCTCTTCTAAAGGTGTACTAGTAAATGAAGCTTGATTTATTTGATCTTACTGAAACCTGGCTGGGTGATGGAGAATATGTTAGCCTAAATGAATCCACCCCTCCCAGTCATATTAATACTCACATTCCTCGAGGCACAGGCCGAGGAGGTGGAGTTGCAGCTATCTTCCACTCTAGCCTACTAATCAGCTCTAAACCTAAACTATAACTCATTTGAAAGTCTTGTTCTTGGTCTTTCGCACCCAAGTTGGAAATCACTGCAACCAATTCTTTTTGTTATAGTGTACCGAGCACCTGGCCCGTACTCTGAATTCTGAGTTTTTGTCAACTTTAGTCCTTAAAATGGACAAAGTTATTATTGTAGGGGATTTTAATACTCATGTGGACGTTGAGAATGACAGCTTCAGTACTGCGTTTATCTCTCTGTTAGATTCCATCGGCTTCTCTCAGAGTGTTCATGAACCGACTCACTGTTTTAACCACACCCTCGACCTTGTTCTGGTGTATGGTATTGAAATTGAACATTTAGTGGTGTTCCCACAGAATCCCTCTTTATCCGACCACTGTTTGATAACTTTTGAGTTTGTATTGCTGAACTACTCGCCATTGGGCAAAAACTTCTATGAAGATGTCTGTCTGATAGTGCTGTAGCTAAATTTAAGGATGCGATTCCATCAGCTCTAAATACATTATCTAGTCACAAAGTAACGGAGGACTCCTATGCTAATTTCAGTCCCTTCCAAATCGATCATCTTGTTGATAGTGCTGCAGGCTCGCTGCAAATGACACTGGACTCTGTAGCCCCTCTAAAAAAGAAAATACTAAAACAAAGACGGTTAGCTCCATGGTATAATACTGAAACTCACAAATTAAAGCAAATATCGCGGAAACTTGAGAGGAATTGGCGTTCCACCAAACTGGAAAATTCTCGTTTAATTTGGCAAGATAGTCTTAAAACTTATAGGATGGCCCTCCGTAATGCCAGAGCAGCGTACTACTCGTCATTAATAGAGGAAAATAGGAACAACCCCAGGTTTCTTTTCAGCACTTGTAGCCAGGCTGACAGAGAGTCACAGCTCTATTGAGCCAAGTATTCCCATAGCTCTCAGTAGTTACAACTTCATGAGCTTCTTTAATGATAAAATTCTAACTATTAGAAACAAAATTCTCCAAGACCTGCCCTCAACTGGCACCAACTTATCTCTTAACTCAGGAACCTTAGAAACAGCTGTAGAACCAGATATATGTTTAGACTGTTTTGCTTCCCTCAATCTTTACCAACTAACTTCAATAATTTCTTCATCTAAACCATCAACCTGCCTCTTAGACCCCATCCCGACTAGGCTGCTTAAAGATGTTTTACCCTTAGTCAGCACCTCTATACTAGATATGATCAATCTATCTCTATCAACAGGCTATTTACCACAGTACTTTAAAGTAGTTGTAATTAAACCTCTTCTGAAAAAGCCCAAACTTGATCCGGATGTTTTAGCCAACTATAGACCTATATCTAACCTTCCATTTCTCTCTAAGGTTCTGGAGAAAGCAGTTGCTAAACAGCTGTGTGACTTTCTACAGAGCAATAGTTTATTTGAGGATTTTCAGTCAGGATTTAGAGCTCATCATAGCACAGAGACAGCACTGGTGAAAATTACTAATGACGTCCTCATTGCATCAGACAAAGGATTTGTCTCTGTACTGGTTTTATTAGATCTTAGTGCTGCATTTGATACCATTGACCATCAGATCCTATTGCAGAGACTGGAACATTTCATTGGCATTAAAGGAACCACTCTAAGCTGGTTTAAGTCCTATTTATCAGATCGATTTCAGTTTGTACATGTTAACGATGAGTCCTCCATGCATGCCAAAGTTAGTCATGGAGTTCCACAAGGATCTGTCCTCGGACCAATCCTCTTCACTTTATATATGCTTCCTTTAGTCAATATTATCAGGAAATATTCCATAAACTTTCATTGTTATGCCGATGATACTCAGTTATATCTATCGATCAAACCAGATGAAATCAGTTAGCTAAACTTCAAATGTGCCTTCAGGATGTTAAAACCTGGATGACCTGTAATTTTCTAATGTTAAACTCAGATAAAACTGAAGTTATTGTTCTGGGGCCTAAGCACCTCCGTGACGCATTATCTAAAGTTATAGTTTCCCTTGATGGCATCGCCCTGGCCTCCAGCACCACTGTGAGGAATCTTGGAGTTATCTTTGATCAGGACATGTCGTTTAAGTCTCACATTAAGCAAATTTCAAGGACCGCCTTTTTTCACCTACGTAATATTGCGAAAATCAGGAACATCCTGTCTAAAAATGATGCAGAAAAACTAGTCCATGCATTTGTTACTTCTAGGCTGGATTACTGCAATTCCTTATTATCAGGCTGCTCGAAAAAGTCCGTTAAGACTCTTCAGCTGATCCAGAATGCTGCAGCACGTGTTCTGACAGGAACCAGGAAAAGAGATCATATTTCTCCTGTCTTAGCTTCTCTGCATTGGCTTCCATTAAAATCCAGAATAGAATTTAAAATCATTCTTCTTACCTACAAAGCTCTTAATGGTCAGGCACCATCTTATCTTAAAGAGCTCATAGTACCTTACTACCCCACCAGAGCACTGCGCTCCCAGAATGCAGGGTTACTTGTGGTTCCTAGAGTCTCCAAAAGTAGACTAGGAGCCAGAGCGTTCAGCTATCAAGCTCCTCTCCTGTGGAACCAGGTTCCAGTTTGGTACCTCTTGAAGCTCATCAAGAGAATGCCAAGAGTGTGCAAAGCAGTAATCAGAGCAAAGGATGGCTACTTTGAAGAAACTAGAATATAAGACATGTTTTCAGTTATTTCACACCTTTTTGTTAAGTACATAATTCCATATGTGTTCATTCATAGTTTTGATGCCTTCAGTGAGAATCTACAATGTAAATAGTCATGAAAATATTGAAACGCATTGAATGAGAAGGTGTGTCCAAACTTTTGGCCTGTACTATATATATTTTAAAACAAGGCTAAATGTGAAAAGCCTTGCTAGGAGATTCTGGGACCTGCAACATTTATTATACCAGTTTCTGTGTTAATATGCTTACTATTTTCCTAACTAGCAGTGTTTGAGAGTGGTACTTGGGGAAAAAAGTCATGAGGTTATTGAAATAAAATAAAAACGTTTATTTGTGTGTGTGAGA